ATGAGTCCAGAATATACAAGGATATATAAAAGAAAGGGGGAAAGGGTAGTTTCTTTAGTAAGCGGTACTGGGAAAATTGGATAGGCACATGCATAAGAATGAAACTGGACCCCTATCTTACACCATACGCAAAAAGCAACTCCAAATGTATTAAAGACTTGGGGGGAAAAAAAAAGACCTGAACATAAGATCTGAAGACTACAAAATTCCTAGAAGAAAACACAGGGGGAAGATTCATCGACATCAGTCTTGGCAATTTTTTTTTCTTTTTGAATTTGACACGAAACTGAAAGGCAACAAAAGCAAAGATAAACACATGAGACTACATCAAATTAGCAATCTTCCGCACAGCAAATGGCACCATCGACAAAGTGAAAAGGCAGCCTAGAGAGTGGAACAGAGTGTTTGCAAACCAGGTATCTGGTTAAAAGGGTTAATAGCCAAAACATATCAAGAACTCCTATGACTCAAGAGCAGAAAACAATCCAAATAAAGAATGGGCAGAGGAACTGAACTTTTTAAAAAATATTTTATTTATTTAAGTCATCTCTACATCCAATGTGGAGCTTGAACATACAACCCCGAGATCAGGTGTCCGGGGTTCCACAGACTAAGCCAGCCAGGCGCCCCTCAACAGTTTTCAGAAGACAGTATATGGATATATGAAAAGGTGATCAACGTCAATCATCAAGGAAATGCAAATCAAAACCACAACGAGACATCACGTCACACCGTTAGGATGGTAATCATGAAAAACACCAGCGGTAATAAGCGTTGGGGAAGATGTGGACAAGAGAACCCTCGTGCACTGCTGGAGGGAACGCAAACTGGGGCAGCCACCGTGGTTAACCATAGGGAGGTTCACTCAAAAAAGTAAAACACTAGAAGTATCCTATGATCCAGCAATGTCCCTTCTGGGTACTTGCCCAAAGGAAATGAAAACAGGTTTTTGGAGAGATATCTGGATTGCCACGTGCACGGCAATATTACAACAGTCAAGATATGGAAACTTAAGTGGCCTTCAAGGGGATGAATGAGTAAAGCTGATAAGGTATATCTATACACAAAGGAATGTTATTCAGCCATGAGAAAAAAAAGGAGATCCTGCCTTTTGGCAACAACACGGATGGACTTGGCTAAGGGAAACCTCAAAAAGGTTAACTCCTAGAAACAGACGAAAATGGTGGTTAGCAGGAACTGGGGAGAATGGAAAAGAGATGTTGGTCAGAGGGCACTCACTTCCAGTTACGAGAGGAGTCAATTCAGAAAATCCAACAGACAGCAGAGTGATTATGGTAATGATATCGTAACAGACTTGAAAGATGCTATGTTCTCACGGGTAAGTGGAAATTATGGGACATGATGCAGGTGTTTGCTAACTTTGTGCTGGTAATAATTTTGCAACATGTAAGCCTACCATGTCAACACCTTCTGTATATTTAAAAAGATTTTTAATTTAAATCCACGTTAGTTATCATAAAGTGTAATAATCACTTCAGGAATAGAATTTGGTGATTCATCACTTACTTGTAACACCCAGGGCTCATCCCAACAAGTGCCTTCCTTAATAAGGCCCCCTGCCCATTTAGCCCACTCCCGGACCCAACACCCCTCCAACAACCGTTTGTTCTCTGTATTTACAAGTCTCTTAGGGTTTGTCTCCCTGTTTTTGTTATTTTTGCTTCCCTTCCCTTACATCCACCTATTTGTATCTTAAATTCCGTCCGTGAAATCATACCGTATTTGTCTCATCTCTGACTTCTTTCATTTAGCCTAATACACTCTAGTTCCATCCACGTTGTTGCAAATGGCACGATTTCACTTTTTGATCATGGAGTAAGACTGCCTCGTGTACACCTATCTACCACATCTTTAACCATTTTGTCTGTCGATGGACATTTGGGCTCTTTCCATACTTTGGCTATCGTCAATAGCGCTGCTATCAACATTGGAGTGCACGTGCCCCTCTGAAAGAGCCCTCCTGAACACCTTCTATACCTTAAGATTCACAAGATGTCCTATGTTCATTTTATCTGAAAGCTGGAAGAAAAAAAAAAAAGACCCAGTGAGGTGGTGTTGAAAGAGAAGATGCCACGTTCTTGGTGGCACTAGGACTCCAGGCTTGATATGCTAAGTGTGATGAGGAAGGGGCCTGGACAACTTATTTCATTACTCCAAAATGTCCCCTTCAGTGGAAGATTCCTTAGACACCCAAATGGTAACAAACACCAAAAAAAAAAAATCTCCTTCCCCTCTCGGTCATGGAACTCGGTGACCTAGTAAGAATCCCTGGCAAAACCAGTTCAGCCCAGTCTGTATTTGTAAAGGGAAGTGGGTCTCTGGGACCTTACTGGAAAGACAGACCGGACAAACCCACCCCACATCAGGAGCTGGGTGACCATCGGTTAGCACGTTAAGCCTCATGTCCCAGGGAACCTCTCTGGTCCAGGCAAACCGGGTGCTTGGTCACCCTCAGAGCCGTCCTAGGTACGCTTTTTGGTGACTATACTGGCAGTGTCATTCGAGAACTCCTTCCAAGACGGTTGCATACACCAGACGCTAGACTGTGGTGCCGGTGTGCACAAAGAAAGGGGAACGGCAGCACGCGAGCCTCTTCCTCCCCTTGGGGAAGTTTTGGGGTGCTGCATCAGTGGGCAGTTATCTCCTTTGTTCCCTGTGTGGTCCCTCAAGGTCACCCTGGAAAGGGCTAGCTACCGGACAAGCCGCTGTAAGCTGTGGGAGGTCTTCCACGGGAGCAGTTCCCCAACAGCCCAGCGTGGAGGCGGCACCGGTCTCCCACCGGGGCACACGTCCCGGCTCTGCAATTTGATGGCTAGGAGACCCTGGCCAAGTCACTAACCTCTGTGCCTCATGTTTCATCATCTGTAAAATATGGATAGTCCCAGTACACGTTTCATATGGTGATACGAAGAATTGAGGTTGTACATATCAAGGTTTTAAATTGTATCTGGTACACAAAGTGCTTGGCAAACGTCACCTTGTCGATCACCATCTAAGAAGGAGTCGTGTTTGTTCCTAAGAAAAAGATGTCAAAAGGCAAGACCGGAGGGGATACCGTACTCTTTCTAGAGCCTGGGATGGAAAGACCTGTGTCTATTTCCAGTGCCAGATCAGAAGGAGAGCGTGGGGAAGATGGCCTCCTGTTTGGCAGGGGGTAGGCAGCCCAACTCTGAAGAGGAAAGCAACAGAGGAGACTTCCGAAACATAGGTCCGGAACTTGGCCAGTAAGTTTTCGAATACAGATCATGCAAGACAAAAATGGGGAGGTGAAAACAAACCTACCACCCCCAGCTCCTTCTAGCGTCAAACAAAGCCTGAAGAGGTGTTGCCAGACTAGATGATTTTTCGTTTATAACCCAAATAAAATTATGAGAAACACAATCACATGGGCTTTCACGTAAGATTTTTATTGAAAATTTTGTGTCGTTACAGAAAATCAATAGGCCTTGGGGCGCCTGGGTGGCGCAGTCGGTTAAGCGTCCGACTTCAGCCAGGTCATGATCTCGCAGTCCGTGAGTTCGAGCCCCGCGTCGGGCTCTGGGCTGAGGGCTCGGAGCCTGGAGCCTGTTTCCGATTCTGTGTCTCCCTCTCTCTCTGCCCCTCCCCCGTTCATGCTCTGTCTCTCTCTGTCCCAAAAATAAATAAACGTTGAAAAAAAAAAATTTAAAAAAAAAAAAGAAAATCAATAGGCCTCAAGTCACATTACATGGGTAAGGCACTCAGCAGCAAACATGGTTACCAGAAGTCATCTGGCCCGTCGGGAGAAAAGCCTGTGAAACTAAATTAAGGAAAAATAAATTATTTTTATCAAATTTTTGTTAAATTTATTCAGGGATCTTTATCATGTTCTCATTCTTTCCCTGTGGGCTTTGTGCCCTTGCTTACTATTTATTTCAGAACCAATTTCACAAATTAAAAGATGCTGTATGTTTTTTGTTTTTTTTTTTGAAGTCCCTAAATTTTGATTGTTTCGCTCATTTCTGACAGGCAGACTCAAGCATCTGAACACTTCCCTTGGCTGACACAACCCACCACACGATGGTTTGTGCAGGCAACGTCACGTTGGGGGAACCATACCTTTCGTCTTTGTTGCTAGATGGCAGTGTTTCCACTTGGGAGCCTTCTCTGACCACCTTTGAACTCTGATACCAAGAGGGAAAAAGAATTTTGAAATTACACATGTAGGAGTTTAATACTTTGATTTCTCTAACAACTCTGAGATAAAGGTCATTTAAGAAACTGAAAAAGAGGTGACTTCTAAACATCAAATTTAGTAGGCATATCAAAATAAACCACCTGCTACCCATTCTCAACACCCAGTGTCTGAGACTTAAGTATTTAGGTCTCAGAGAGCACTAATGCATTTTTTATTCATGAATACACCTTTCATTTTTTCTTTCTTCTTAAAATAATGAGACACATGTCAACTTTTATCAAATTTGACATAGAGATCTCTTCCATCTTTACCCAAACAAAAGTGATGAAATTTGGCCAAGAGACTCAAGGCTCTATTTGAACTTTGCATCTTCTACGCCTCAACTTTTGGTCTCTGATGGAGAAGGCAGATTCTCGTCCTAAGGTCTTCAAACAAACTAAAGCATCCCCCGGCACCCCTTCCACAGACAGCCGGTCCAAAGCATCAGCACCTTATCTGCAGACTCCTGGTCTTGATTTTGCTGAAGAATTCTCATGTACTTCTCTAAAGGATTTTCACCACAGACAGGCTGGTCTTTCGTTTCTTCAACAGTCATTTCCATTTCTTTTTCCATTTCAATCTTCAATGATTCTTCAATAATCCTCTGTGGAATACATAGGCACCAGCATAGGAAACACAAATATATCACAACAACTTTTAAATGTTCAAAAATGCATAGTAATATAATCCTGATCCTGTTAAGTACAACCTGCATGCCAAAGAACAATTTCCTTAATTGAAGTCATTGCCATGCAAGAGAAACCAAACAAGCCAATCTCAATGAAGGAGGGGATTAATTCGCCTCACGTGTCCTGTGCTTTAGGCCAAATTAACCAGGAGTCCAAGAACATCCAATATGGAAGATTTCAAGACGACTCAGCAAGCATATAAAGTGACAAGAGTAATCCACACGCCTGGAACCACAATCAGGACCAAGAAGGCCAGAACAAACCCAGAGGAAGGATGAGGACAAGGGAGCCCCTGGAAGGCACCAGTGACCAGCAGTCACTTCCCCTGGGTTACTCTCATCCCACCTAGCTGACCTCGGAAGCTTTCTTTAAAGCCCATTTAAAAAAGGCAAGATCTAGGGGCGCCTGGGTGGCTCGGTGGGTTAAAGCGTCTGACTCTTGGTTTTGGCTCAGGTCATGATCTCATGGGAGTTCAAGTCCCGCGGTGGGCTCTGTGCTGGCAGTGCAGAGCCTGCTTGGGCTTCTGGCTCTGCCCCTCCCCCGCTCATGTGCGTGTCCTCTCTCCCTCCCACCCTCTCTCACAAATAAACTTTATTTATGGCTTATTTCCAGGACCAGAGGAGAATGCATGCCAATGAGCTCGTAAAAGCTCCTCTTTGTTGTGAAACTCCTAAGGTCTATGTTATACACAACCTCTCTCAGTCTTTTAAAGGAAAGGAGAAGATTGGGACGCCTAAAGCAGGCTTTTAGTAATACTAAACCTACTAATACTAAGATTTGTATGGAACCATAAAAGACCCAATAGCCAAAAACAATCTTAAACAGCAAAGCCGGAGGTATCACAAGCCCAGATTTCAAGATAGACTATGAAGCTGTAGTAATCCAAACGGTATGGCACTGGCACAAACAGACACACCGATTAATGGAACAGAATAGAAAGCCCCAAAATAAATGCACACTAATATGGTCAATTCATCTACAACAGAAGAGGCAAGAATATACAGTAGGGAAAAGACAGTCTCTTCAATAAATGGTGCTGGGGAAATTGGACCACATTATTATGTTTATTTTGAGAGAGAGGCGGGGGGGGGGGG